TTAATTTTTTTTTGTAAACTTCAGCCCATAAAATTTTATCATGTTTTGCCCACATATTTAGAGTTACAGTTTGGTTTTAAGTATATTATTCTAATTGCTTTGTTTTTTAATATTTAATTGTATCTTGTCTTGTGAGCTAATAAATATCGCTCTTAGCGATAAGACCGCCCATTATTACACTGTATTCTTTAATTATGTACTTCATGTTTATGTTTTCTTTGGTGTAAAAATAAAGAGTTTTGTATTGTATTGTATTGTATTGTAAATAAATAAAAAAACTTAAGCATTGTTCCAATATGGAAATAGCAAAAGCGTACATTTAAATTGTCTCTTCAAATAATATACGTCAGCAAAACCGTAGTCTCAGCTAATAAATTGTCTCCTTTAATCTAGAGATTGGCAGAATCGTTACATAATGAGACAGCGCAATAATCCCCAAAAATTTAATTTAATTCAAATGAAATAACCAAATTCCTGATGTAACATTAAATATGAATATATGTCAAATAACAATAAAAAAAACAAAGTATAAATAATAGTTACCCTAAAAATATTTCAATAGTTTCGTGTATTACCAGTGAGGATATTGCAAACCCGTGTTTTCAGAGGAAACACGACAAAGCAATATGCTAATAAAGTATCCTAGCTGAAATACTTGCTAATTTCACCATAATCTTGTTACTGCATATTACAACCACTGTTTTATAACATAGAGCTCAAATTGGGTAACTTCCCCGAATATAAGACAGAAATATGAAAATATTTTGTAATGTCGGTTGATATTGTGCCTGAAAAAATACTAAAACGTTTTAATATAATTAGGACCATATTCATTCCTATGTCAATGAACTTACCTAACTGAAAATGCACTTCAACAAATTGTATAATATCCATTTTTATCACATTTATTAAATAAATATTCGGTGTAAATATCACAGGTCATCAATTGTAGACAATTCCTATATTGATTTAGAGTCAATTTACGCGTTGAAATCTTTTGTTCTATGAGTTATAAATACCAAAAATAATTAGGATTTCCTAACCGACTCCGATTCTGATTCTAAGGATATTTTAACTAGTCCCTAGAATATATTTGTTAATGGAATTAGATTTCCAGTTAACTCCAAGAACCAGCCAAGTGAGAGTCTCTCAAAGGAAGGGTTCCGCACAATAGAACAAAATAAATCTAGATTGAGAAATAATGTTTCATATTTCATGTTCGACTTTATTCTACAGGTATATCAAAATAATGTTGACAAGAGGTTGAGGTAAAAAAAGGCAGCGTCGTAACTGGAGTTGAGATTTTATTGAGTTTAGTAACAGAGCTGATAGGTACGTAGACGCTTTCCGTCACCACCAATAACGAAAACAAACCCCAACCATATGAAGCACTTGGTAACGCCGAATTTGTCTCGCGCAGCTATAAAAGCATCGTGGCTGCCTTTCGATTTGGAAAAATGGATAAATTTAACAAAACCTTTTTTTACACCCACCTTCAAAGATTAATCGGTTGAGGGTGGAATCTCTACAGAATTTCTGAGGACGGGCGGTAAGCCGATATTTAAGTCCTCCAGAAGCTTTTCAAGTCCATCATCTTTGAAGGCCAAACGCCTAAGGCATGTGGCAGAAGTAAAGTTATCATATTCGTCAAAAAGGGCGATAAAACACTTTTAAAAAACTATCGACTAATCTCACTTCTGCCCCTCTAGGATGAGCACTTCCATATGCTGTATAGGTATCACGTTTTTATCACGCTCAAATGTTAGATTACTATGGAGTTTGACAGTTAAACGCGTTAAAAAACCTGATATAATGTAAATTGTGGTGCTCATACTACGGGGTCTGAGCCATGTTTATAAATTGTTATTGACATCTTTATATATATAATTCTTCTGTGAGTGTGTATGTCACTGAACTTCTCTTAAACGACTGGACCGATTTTGATGACCACCCCTATTTTTTTAGGGCGGTACGAAGTTCGCTGGGTCAGCTAGTTTATATATATTACTAATCATCTCGCTCGCAGGTTTGACGACTTTCAACCTCCCGAACAAGCAGGTTTCTGAAAACGCTTCAGTACCATAGACCACAGGAAACCGAGGAGTACAACCTGCCTGGCGTATATGAATTATGAGAAAGCTTTTTTACGATCAAAACCTGGGCGGTGCTACGGTCTCTTTTATAGTGCCGAGTAGACTATATATCTTAATATATATAAATCTCGTGTCACAATGTTTGTCCTCAATGGACTCCTAAACCACTGAACCGATTATAATAAAATTCGCACACCGTGTGCAGTTCGATCCAACTTGAGAGATTGGATAGTTTAAATCTCAAATTATAGTCGCAATTTTAATTTATTGCAAATTATTACTTTTGGGCGGTACGAAGTTCGCCGAGTCAGCTAGTATATAATATAGAGGTGTTAAGGTATCTTTACGAAAACGCTAGTATGTCAATCCGGTTGCAGAACCAGCCCCTCTAGCATGACCACCGAAACGGGATATGATAAAGCGATATATCGGCATTAACTGTCAAACTCCACTATACTCTGACATAGGCAGAGCTGCAATCCTATCTAACTGCAAAGAGGCGTGAGACATGAAGATGTTATTTCTCCAAAACTGTTATCTGCTGCATTGGATGATATTTTCAAGTTTCTGGTTTGGAAAGGCCTTGGCATTAACATATGGTGAGTACCTTACACACCTTTGCGTTGCCGATGACCGTAGTAGACCGTGGTAGAGCTGAATTGTTCGTGGGTCTAAAGATGAATATGGATAATTCCTAAAAACATATCGAATGTCTATGTTGTACCCGCTCTAGACAAAATTGGGAACTTCCCGGGTTCATTCTCGATCGGGACATTGTCAAACTTTCTATGTTTTGGGTCTAAGTAGTTGGTGTGAGGCTGTTGTTGTTTTCGTATCTTTACTACGCAAGCTTTGTTATACTTACCTCAAGATAAGAGATAACGTATGTGATTTAGTCCAAAATTATCCATGATATATTATGTGATTATTAATAAAATAGCTATTTCAGATCACTGAATTTTAAGAATAAATAATTAGATTTCAGTCTCAAATTCTAGCTTATTTCGTTAAAAATCACCACTTATATCACTATATACAGAATTGTTAGGATATTTAGATCTTCTAAAACTATTAAGATGATTAGACCTAAAATAACCTGAATTAATGATTCCTAAAACAGTAATTAGTAATGTTTGATTTACAAGTATTTCTAAAAGTGAAGAAACAAAAATATCTACAGAAATAACAAAAAATGTATCAATGTGAACTTGTTAGTTTTTGGTTAATTCAGTGGGGTGTAATATGATTTAAGTTCCATTATATCACTTTAGACTAATACAAAATTCGTACTGAGTTATTTAACTGGGTTAATTATTTAAATTCAAAGAAACTATAATAAGTTTAATGCGATTCGACTATGAATAGGACCGACTGGGCGCCATATTGTGACGTCATAGCTGTCAATTCAAACAAAATAGGTAAAGTGAGCAAAAAAGGTTTATAAAACTTGTCGAGCGTTCGCGTTACCGGCGCCGCACTGTTGCCGCACCGCGCGTTTTGTATGAAAAAATAGGATCGTCCATACGCTGTACGACAAGCGCACCGCTTCAGCACCGCAGCAGGCGGTCAAGAAACGCATAAATTGAAAGCGCCCTTAGATCACTTTTCACTGAACGTACAGAAATAACAATTATCAATGTCAGTGTTTTTTAACCCGCTGTTGCCCCCGTAGCATGAGCATCTGAATGTACCTTAAATGACGTCTTTCCCCACGTATAACTGTCAAATTCCATATTAATTTGACAATTGAGCATGATAAAAACGAGTTATTTAAATATTCTCCGCTAAAAAGAGGGCGTTTCAACTGGCCCCTTCTTTCCGAGATGTAACCGTGCCGGTAACCGAACAGCTCGAGCTTCTAGGAATAACTCTCACCTCTACTCTCAACCAGACCCGTCTTTCCCAGTGGGCACTTTGGGCAAGTGCCCAGGGCCCCGCGATCGATAAGGGGCCCCCTCAGATCAAATACAAAGTCCCTAGTTCCTGTTAAATCACCAATACAGAAGTCATAGGAGCCCAATTATACTAATATGGGTCAAAGACGGCACTGCTCTCAACTTCGGTACCTACATTGAGTCCAGAGCTCAACTGGCTGCAAAAAAGCTTGGCGTCTTCGCAAAGGTGCGGAAGTACTTTACACTGGAACAGCTGCTTACCTTGTGCCAAGCGCAAGTTTGCTCCTGCATGGAGTACTGTTCCCACCTTTGAGATGGTTCTGCAAAACATCAGCTGGAGTCTCTAGAGTGCATTGAGAGGCGTGCAAAGAAGCTCATCGGCAACCAAAATTATTCGAGACTAGACTCCAAAGTCTTGAACACAGGCGAAAAGTTGCCTCTTTATCGGTTTTTTACATTTCGGAGAGTGTGCTTCGGAGTTACATAACCTAATTCCACCTTCACCGTTTTACCACAGAACTACGAGAGAGACGGCAAACCGCCACAGATATACCGTAGAGAAAAACGGAAACGGTTTGCTTCCACCTATATCGTTAGAACAGTTAGGTTGTGGAACTCTTTGCCGGAATCTCTGTTTCTAATCACCTATAATCTAGGCAAGCGCGTCCCATCTTAGGCTCTTCATCAGAATCATGATGCTCATGGTAGGGGGGCATAGACCAACCGCAGAGGTTCAGAACGACCAAGTTGTGACAACCATCCAACGGTTATTTGCATCGTTGCAACCATCTGCCAAATTAACAAGATTCTGAACGGTCTTTGGGTAAAAAGTTGCATTCAGAGCGTAGGTTCTGAACGTAGCCCCTGTTGTCACTGTCACTGTCGCTGTCACTGCCATGTCATGTTGATGTTTGTCTTTGAAAATTCCTCAAGTGAAGCTATTTCGTCTGATAACACTGGGCTGTAATCAAAGTTCAACTTATTATAATTGCAGATAAGATGTGTTATTTAATTTCTTTGACGTATAGCACACCAGAGGCTCGTCTGATACGTCGTAAAAATGACTGCTTTAGCCTCGAGAAACGTAAATTTTCTAACGAAAATAGTGAAATGTGTGAACAACTATTCGAAGAGGCTTTCGTCGCATTTTATTTACTTTCCTGACAATGAAGCTCCAGTGGAAGGTGAGATAAATGTAGAAAAGTTAATTTATAGTACCCGTTCTGTCTATAAAGTATTGTATAATATTGATTTTCATACATTTATGCTTGATGTAAAAATAATGTACATTTCAACATGTTTTTATCATTAATGCGTGATACATTTGATACATGACAAAGCATCAAAATTGCACTATAGTAAGATAAATTAACATAATCATCAAAATTTTAACTAATATATGCTGCACTTGTAGGTACTTGTTATATAAAAAAAATACTTATCACTTTAAATTTCACTCACACAAAACTAAACTTAATTTACCATTGATTTTGAAGGCATTTTCAAAAAGTATACAATAAGAGCCTTTTACAGAACTGAAAACTTGAGTGAGAAGTAAAGATTTTCATTTACACATCTACAGGTGAAACAAACAAAATGAACATGATGCAAGCTATCAACAATGCTATGGACATTACATTGCAAAATGATCCAACTGCGGTTCTGTTCGGTGAAGACGTTGCCTTCGGCGGTGTGTTCAGGTGTGCTTTGGGTTTACAGGTTAGTAGTAATTTAATTTACAAACTATTGAGGAAAAAGGATTAAATATAAAACTATTACCTAACTATTGAGTTTTAATTAAATTAATGTCTATGTGATATTGTAAAATTATATAATGTAGGAATTCATGGACAAATAAAAGTCATTTAAGTGTAATCATTCCTTACTTCAATAAGTGGTTATACCATAGATATTAAACAATGCTAAATCAAGCAATACGAAATTTTAAAATCATAAAGTTCAGAACATTATGAATACAAAATAATGTCAATTCTGTTTACAATTTCAGGAAAAATACGGCAAGGACCGTGTATTTAACACACCACTATGTGAACAAGGTATAGCTGGTTTCGGTATTGGCTTAGCTACAGCTGGTGCCACAGCTATTGCTGAAATTCAGTTTGCTGATTACATTTTTCCGGCTTTTGATCAGGTAATTATATTATAATTTGTGTGATAAATGTCTAAGGAGATTTTTTTTATACTTAAATTCATTTTCTTAATTTATCATTAAATTGAAATCTAGAAAGACATATGTAACATGTTAAAAACTATGCTCGGGGGAAAGTCCACCCTTCATTCAGTGTCTGGTTTTGCCTCTCCCTTTTGACTCTCTTGGCTATCATATTCCCATTTCGCTTGGTTAACTGTTATTACGCGTAGTATTTCTTCATGCCAATGAAATTAGGAATTACATATTGTTAATTAGTCTGTGTGTGAAACTAGGTGATTGAGTCAAATAAATAATAGTAATGCCAGTTTGCTTGCCCTGTTAATTGGTGTCTTTCTATATATTAATTTACAAAATAACCAGACTTGTTTTTTTTATTTATTAGGTGTATCGGTATTTTCGCTATTTTTAAAAGAGCATCGGTATCGTATCGTCGTATATATCGGCAACTTATAAATCATCATTTTCATAAGTCTAAGACATAAGATGCAATAAATAAACGTAGTCCTAACTGAAACAGATATAATAATAATAATAATAGTAAAGACAAAAAAGTAGTAAATAGTGTCACAATGGAGTTCGAAGAGGAAACAATCTTGTGGGTATTGCTGCGACGTCGTCGTCAGCGGCGAAGATATCGATCACTTGAGTATAGAAAGGTCAGAGCTCTTCAGTCATCAGCGTGTCTTCGGCAGATCCTCTCATACTTTGGTCACATGATAATCTAGAAAAACTAGTTGTCGTTGAATACGTCCAAGGCAAAAAGAGTCGAGGTAGATCCCCAACAAGGTGGTCATATTTAATCAAGGAAGGATCACACCAACAAACTTTCTGCAACGCGGTGAAGAGATCACAACAGATGGAGGCAAATCATTCCCTCTTGGAAGATCTTCAGTAATGTAGGACCAACTGCAAAGGAAGAAGAAGATTATAGAAAACAAATTATGAATCTTCCATTTTGAATGTCTTTACCCAGTTAATTTAATTAAATCAATGCCTCTACCGACAAAATGGCACGTAGCCAGTCAGGCGGATATTTAGGCGCCGATACGCTGCGTCTGTTGTCGCCAGACGTTGCGAGAATTTGTCCGTGTGATACGAGTTACTTGCTGCGTTTCTATACTAATTCGTGGCTACCGATAGCTGACTGCTTAGCAGTTGTCGCGCAGACATTGGACAGTTACAATATAATTTTTCCCTAATTAGGTATTTGGCAAACTCTGAGATCATTTTTATTTCATTATTATATTTTTTTTTTTTGTTTTATATGCAATATATCTTATCTTGTTTGTGCTCATATTGGGGGATGTTAAGGACATGGAAACTGAATATGAATGCATGATTGTCATTGACCGTCAGATAGTGAACGAAGCTGCCAAGGCGCGGTATCGTTCCGGGGGTCAGTTTGATTGCGGTGGACTTACTATACGCGCTCCTTGCAGCGCGGTGGGGCACGGGGGACTTTATCACTCGCAAAGTCCGGAAGCTTTCTTCGCACACGTGCCGGGACTAAAGGTCAATTTTAGTTTCCTTTCCAGTCAAATAACATTACGCTACACCACTTAAAACAGGGCCGCGTCAAACTTACGCTCTGAATGCAACTTTTTACTGACATTTGTTGCGCGTAGAGCGTAGGTTTTGAACGCAGCTCCGCTCTTCACACCCTACTAGTTAGATTTTCTATACGAATATAATGGTGTCGATTCTGGCATGATTCTCTACACTTAAAACTTAAAATAACATCAGTCTCCTCTTTTCATTCTGTATAGAGCAGGACAAGGACACACTGTTGTCAAATCTAAGTTAAGATTTAGAGAATCGTGTCATAATCGACACCAATGTGAATTTTGGTATGCAGTTAAAAGGAATGTTGGAGTAGGGGCTAATTTTTGACTCATACTTTGATTTGACTGATTCTTCTGAAAGAGGAAGTAGGAAGCACCCACTAAATGTAGAACTGTCTTACGCTTTCACGACTAAACCGCTGAACTGATTTTGATGACTGTGTGTATGGATATAGTGAAACCTTGCAGAAGGGCATAGACTTTTTTAATGTTTTAAGATATAAACATGGCTACTGACATTACAGTAATTAGCAGGATTAGTACCTTGAGTTTTTTCAATTATATTTTGGTACTGTATCACGTGCCATGATCGTGAAATAACTGTGTACTCGTAAAAACAATATACATGGTATCAATATCTAATTACTGTAACAAAGGCTTTCTGTCGCTAAAATAAAACTTGAACTGATCGGAATAAAAGATAATTCAATCCGTAGACAGATACAGATAAATACAGATTTAATTTGCAAACATCTACAGTCAAAATCAAGCTTTTCCTTTTGCCTTTTCCGCAGCCTAGTACATAAAAGTTTAATGGAGTTTTTGGCGGGATTTCATCGAGTGCGGTTGGCGTCCTATTTCAATTATTCTTTAATTCGTTCATAGTGGATATTGTGGAATAAAATTGGTGTGATTTTGTGTCACAACCTGTCTGCACAACTGAAGAATTAGTGGAATCTTTAAAATATACGCTATTCCGGTCAAGAGGACGTGAGAACTTTATTGTAGTGTTGAGTACCTCACAGAAGCTTATCGAGAAAACTGACTCGATACATTTCGTACCAAACACTCCAAGAAACATTAGAATGCGTCACACCCACATTCCAAAAAAAAAGAACAAAGATAAGTTAAGTCTAGGTTGTATGAGCATTGTTCCCTTTGCCTTCCCTAAAAAGGGAGAAAGTTAAAAAAAGTTTAATCTGGTCATTTAGATTGTGGTACCTCGTGGACCGATCGCAGCTAAAGGTCTCCTTTTATCCTGCGTACGAGAACGCGACCCCTGTCTGTTCCTCGAGCCCAAGATATTGTACCGATCTGCTAACGAAATGGTGCCTGTAGACGACTACACTCTGCCCATAGGGAAGGCGCAGGTGTTGAGAGAAGGTGAGAATACGAAAGAGAACAAAACTATGACGCATTTTGAAAACATTGACTACCGACTCCAAAAATCAAGAAGCTCATTTCTGGGTTGAAAATTGCACTGTTGAAAAAAGTGCCCCAACATCTGATTGTGCTTCCTCAGACCAAATTTAAATCTCAGATCAAGAATACTCCTATGAGTGAGGGCTATTATAATAAAGTTGATGATTATCTAAATGATCGTAATGCATGGACATAGTGTTTCTTTTAATTTAATGGGTATTAGTCATTTTTCGTAATATTTTTTTCTTTCAATATTTATTTATTTATATTCATACCCAGGTGACGCAGCCACTCTGATCGCTTGGGGCACGCAGGTGCATGTGTTGTTAGAAGTGGCCGATATGGCCAAGGAGAAATTGGGCGTCAACGTAGAGGTCATTGACCTCATGTCCATATTGCCCTGGGACGAGGAAACCGTCTGCAATGTGAGTTGTTTTTACTTATATTTCAGGTTGAATAGCTTTCTTTGGTCATGGATTAGGTATCCATCTACAGAAAATGTGTAAGCTTTTGTGAACTTCGAAAGGTTAAACATTTCTTTTTCTGACGACCTCCGTTGTCGAGTGATTTGTATGCTGGGTTTCATGGTGTCGCCGCCTCGAGAGGGTTCGTATCCCGGTGGGAGCAGATCTTTGTGTGATGACTACGAGCATTTGTACTCCAGTCATGGATGTTTAATATGAATTCTTATATAATATACTTAAATATGTAGGTACAGTATATGTATTCTATCCGTAACCCTAGTATCCCATAACACAAGCCTTACAGTGCTTACTTTGGGGCTGGGCTAATTGGTGTGAGTGTTGGAAATATTTGTTTATTTTTGGTAAGCACGTTTGATCTGCGATTGTGAAAGTTAGGCTACTTTTCCAAAAGGCTATTATCAAAAAAAAGAAAAAAAAATCCAAACTTAACTGTAAGGGGAGTACTAAATTTTATCATTTTAATTTAGGTAGTGACACCAATGACCGGCAAGAACCAATGATCGTAATTTTTTATGTGATCAATGTAAATAAGAGTAGTTGATCGATCACTAATATAGCTAGTAGTAGACGCTCGATGGTACCGAACCCTCCGCTATCCAGGCGGATGCACTGATCAATATGGCCGTGTCGTATTTTCTCAAGAATCTCTTTGGCTGCAAGGCAGCGCCATCTTTTCGCATTGTAGGCAACCCACAATGTCAAATTAATACCTTTACAAGTTTTAAACATTTGAAATAGGAAATAGCAATTATAGTGATATTTTTTTATGCATTTAACTGCTAGATTCTTTATTTAAATAGATTTAAACATCTAGCAGTTAAATTCTTAAAAAATAGAAATATCAAAATAAGCTTTATTATTATTGTAGTCGGTGAAGAAGACCGGCCGCTGTCTCATATCGCACGAAGCGCCTCTCACCTCGGGCTTCGGGGCTGAACTCGCGGCAACCATTCAGGTATTTATTTATTCTAACATTAGCACTTCACGTGGCTATTCGTATAATTCCCTATGTAACACATATAACATAACACAGATTAATATTCTACAACTCTAAAAATACGAGTATACATGAAATTATACTTAGCTGTTGAACTATTGTTACCATGGACCTTGTTTTTTATGAGTCTCCGATATTTCGGCACTGTTGCAAGCGCCATGATCACGGAGTAACTGAAGTAATAATTGCGGGTAGATGTTATTGGTAGACATATCGGTCTACCCTCTGACGTATTGCGTTCGATACCCCTACCACTGGTCACATTTTCACTATTCATATACTGAAAGCTCTTTTAATTCGTCCAATATTTTTTTCTACCACCCATTCAGAAACTCATCAGCATTTAACAGAACATTACAAAAAACATGTCGCTATCTATACAACGTCCACTCACACTTTGATTGCTGTGTCATACATTATTTAAACAAACAGTGTTCATATTAGGTTAATAGATAACATCTCAATAGTAACGCAATATAGAGCAGACTCATCCCCGCTGGCAGCACCCGTTCACGAGCATGACGCATGAACCAGCCATGCCAGCCAGCCCTGTGTTGCGTTCTGGGAAAATAATTCACGCACCTGGGGGTATCCAAAAATACCCCATGTATGTTCCGCGATTTTTCTTAGTTTTCGTTATATTTTTTTTTGTGTATTTTTAATGATTTCTGCCAGCGAGGTTTCAAAAATTCATATCCTTTTTCGTAGTAGGTATTTCGCAGTCTTTTTTTTGTGACATAATAGTCTTGAATGTTATTTTAATAAAAAAATTAACTCAGCTTCCTGAAATTACTTAAAATTACTCAAAAAGGGCTTGAAAGTGGGAACTTAAGTTTTTAGTAGGATTTACTCAAACATTCAACTTCCATTTAAAAAAACAAAAAGGAGTTTCCATAGCTTCTGGTTAAGTTAACTCTGCATGCTTCTAAACTAAAAAATAATTAAAAAAAATAGTACTTAATCAGCCTATTTTTGTTGTAATTGGCATTGGAAGGCGGATAGGCTAAATATTATTGAAACACGATAAAAGCATTTAAAATTATTTTATCTACTTTTTATCATTGTTGTGGTAAATTAAACTTAAAAATGTAATTTCAAATTAAATATAATTAAAATTCCTGTAAAATAACTGTAGCATGTGTAATTTTATAATAATTTTGGTTCTCTTTTCTATTGCTTATATCCCCCACTCAACTCCCGTTCACCTCGCCCGAACACACTTTTCTTAACACGTAACGGCTTACCCAAAACTTACCCCCCAAGTCAGGCGTGCGTAAAGAAGTTTCACTTCAAAAAGCTAATCTTCCCAAGGCTCATAACAGTACGTTACACATTTCATATGATATACTGTTTTTATCCATAGGAAGAATGCTTCCTACACTTAGAGGCGCCTATAAGCCGCGTAACGGGTTGGGACGCGCCGTTCCCCCACGTGTTCGAGCCTCTCTACCTGCCCACCAAGTGGCGCTGTATGCAGCACCTGCACCAGTTGATCAACTACTGAACCTTATTAACATAATCCAGTACACTTAGTACAAGTTTGTAACGAAAACTATCATAGTTTTCGTAATTGTAAATTATGTTTCTATGTCTATTTCGGCGAAAACTAACCAAATATACTTACTTAAAATTTAAGAAGACGCAAATGATTTAATGATAGAGTTTAAACACTGTTTATTTGTATTGAAATGAAAACAATAAAATCAGTACCTACCCTTAGTACGAGTACGAGCACACGAAAACTGTCGTAGTTTTCGTAATTGTAAAACTCGTACTAAGAGTACAGTAAGTAACCTTACCCCGAGTTTTTGGCGGGATTTCATCGAGTGTGATTGGCGTCTTATTTTGATTATTCTTTAATTCGTTCATAGTGGATATTGTGAAATAAAATTGGTGTGATTTTGTATTACAACCTGTCTGCACAAATGAAGAATTAGTGCAAGGGCGGATCCAGGGGGAGTCATGGGGGGTCCCCCCCCCCCCTGGGCTGGGTACAGATGGACTAAACCCAGGGGATTTTATTTAAGTACTTTCAATATTTAATATACCCCGACTATATGACCCCCCCCTCCCGGCGCCAAAGCTGGCTATATGACCCCCCCCCCCCTGGCGCCAAAGCTGGATCCGCCCTTGAATTAGTGGAATTTTTAAAATATACACTATTCCGGTCAAGTGGTCGTGAGAACTTAGTTGTAATGTTGAGTACCTCACAGAAGCTTGTCGCAAAAGCGGACTCGATACATTTCGTGCCAAACACTCCAAGAACCATTAAAATGCGTCACATCCACATTCTAATGTAAAAAAAATACCCTTGCCCCTCGTTTCCACCAAGAAACAAGTCGTATACTAATATTAAACAAACTTATAGAACACTTATTGTGGCTGTTTAAAACATTCCTTCGTTTACACTGCATAGACAACTACCCCGTTATTAATTAACGAAGCATAAGTTTGGATTAGTTACTTCATGTTTTGTCTCTGTCCATCGAATGATATGTGCAATTTGAGTGACATGACAAAAACACGGCGTAGCTAGTCCAAGCTTATTCCTTGTTAATTAATATGTGGCCTAGTATCTTACAAGTTTAGTATAAATCACTTTGTACTTCCTTAGATTAAAACAAAAAGGGAAGATACGGCACTAGCGGCTCAAAAGTGATCCGCTTAAATAAAATGTGGTGCATGACCACAATTCGCTTTAGTCATAATTGGACATTTAAACACGCTGCATGTGCACTCAATAGAAAAAAATTGCTTATATTCTGTGTTATAAAGATAAAACAATGCCTTCGATGCTTTTATAAATAACACAAAAGTTCAAAATCAAATGCCTCTGCAAAACACTTTCAAACACAGCAATTAAGGTTTGTCGTGAATGTTATTTAAGTAATCGCCATTATGTTATCAAGATAAGGACAACAATACTGCTCAGCCAGACTCAGAAGCGGTCTCGCCGTTTCGCTCGCGCAGCGTTGAAGCGCGCACATTTGTCTCGCTCGATCAATTGAATGTTTATTTACAGACGTGTGCGTGTGTGAGAGTTGCTTATGTAGTTGAGACCGTACCTTCTCTTTTTGTTTAAATCTAAGTTTGCTTCACATATTTTATTTATCCAGCAAGTTTGATACAAATATTATAGACTACATGTTTCGTACATGTATATTAGTATGAAAAAAAATTAAGACATTGTATAAAACTTTTTAAATACATGTAAATGAGAGGTTAGCACTTACCAATATCTAATTCGATGGGTCTCGATTTATGGGAGATTTTTAATTCTCGACACGTCCGCTGTGGTGCTGTTAATATTTTCTTACAAAACTATTTGACATTCTACGCGTATCGAGATCTAATTCGATATTGTGGTTCGTGCTAAGGGTACTGTACCTCTAGCACGAACCATTATCGAACTCGAATAGTTTGCGAGTGCGAAATGTCGTTGTCAAATGCGTGCTGATTTTTAGTTCTCGTTACGTACTTTGTGGCGCTGCTGTTCAAATTTCCATACAAAATTTTACATTGACATTTTGCACTCTCAAACTATTCGAATTCGATATCGGTTCGTTCTTTTAGGACTTGTAGCGTTGGTTTTCATCAAGTGTTTTAAAAATAAAATATATTTTTTTGTATTTAGAAAATAAAGAGTACAAAATGGTGCATTACATATTTCTAAATGTGAATATTTTTTATAAGTAGGTATACTTAAGGCGCGATTACACTTGGTCGTTAGCCCGAATACAAATGCTAATGGAATTCGGATAAACGACTAAGTATAAATGGAAGTAGTCGAATACGCCTGTATTCGGGTAGTTCGTTTTATTACCCGACAACGTCTTTCGTCCCGTATTCCAGTGTAAATATTGGTGCCCGAATTCGAGTAATGCCTTTCGTGCACCCGAACGCGGGCTAACGACCTCAGTGTAATTGACCCATTAGTCATAATAAAAACATGAGAATCTTTCCTATTACAACAACCTTTTCGTAACCAATAAAGATATATTTTCTTAAGTTTTTCATTTATTTTTAATTATTGAAGTCGCTATAAAACACCTAGTTCCTTTAGGCGTTTAGCAGACGACGGGGCGGGGCGGGCCGGTCAATTTCGCCGCGAATAATAGCACAAAGTGAATCCTATACTTCAACGCACACAGAGGGCAAAAAGACCGCGCCGCAGGTGCCCGGCGGGCAGTGGCGGCGCGGCATGTCCGCGGCTGCCCGCCGTGGATCATACAAACCAGTTTATATGCAGTAACGCAGACGGCGGCGCGGGGCGGTCAGCTCAGTCCGCGCCACGCGCTTTTTAGTGATGGACTATTCACTAGAACGAACGTCCTGAACTGACCGCCTCTGCCCGTCGTGTGCTTTGGGTACGCGGCGCGGGCAGCCGCAGACATCGACGGGCAGACGCGGTCTTTATTGCTTCGCGGACAAAATGCCCGCCCCGCCCCGTCGTCTGCTCAACGCCATAACATGCCATGATTGCAATTCTTGCAACTTCGTAAACTGGAAAAGGTAACCTGATGGAGTTAAAGACAACATACGAAGGCTACGACTTACTTTATAGGAAAAAAAGGATGAAATCGAAACAGTGCTTCACTTAAGTAAATTTATTAAAAAAATCAAAATCAAACCTTAAAAATAAAGCTAGAATTCAAGAAGAGTTGTTAGCAGAAATGCTTAAATAATAAATGTCAAATTATAGACCGAATTTCAACCATGGGCACGCGAAATGTTACCTTCTTTCGTTAAGCGTAAAATGTGAATCCATAACAATAAAAAGGAAAGAGGACGCTACTGTGCTTTTGATATCTACGTGCTTTTTATTAAGATCAACTATCTAACTTATGGTTGAGATCCGGCCGATAACGGCCTCTTCTGTCACGCAAATCTGCCCTGCCCTTTGCTAAAAAATGAACACCATTTTCAAAGAATGAGGACCAGCATTTTAAACAAAGGCAGAATTTTCAGTACAGAAAATGTCGTCTCTAAAAGTAATAGCACATACGTGAATCGTTGTGCAAACATTAAACATAAAATTAAGACGTTAATTCAAATCAATGTACAGCTATCAGAAATATCTTAACCTACTTAAACAAATACCTCTTTTAACAATTTGTTCAAAACATTAGTAAAATTCAGTAACAAATACAAGCATTACATCTATTTATTATCTTAACGATAGAATTTAAGAATTGAACATTGTGATGCCAGATATTTACATAACATTTCTACTGAGCAGATTTTTTTTTACTCAACACTAAGTCTAAAATTTCATTTTATGTAAAGTAGTTTTACAAAATGATAAGGCAGTTTTAGTTTGACCAGCACCTCTTACTAACAATAAAGGAGAAATCAGATCAGTGACTAAATTGTAAAGTTAACAGTAACTTAGATTTAAAATGCCCAAATTAAAAACTAAATTGACAATGTTAATCTGTGTGCAAAGTTACCAACCAACTACACTGTATTCAGAAACTTAATAAAATCATTATTAGGTATCTCCTTAGTCAAAAAATCTATCTATTCATTAAAATAAAAATGCTGCTGTAGAGTTCTTAAAATACAGGTTGGATTTCTATGAAGATAACCATGTCAAATGACTAAACCACTTAAAACTAAAATTATATAAAATACACCTGGAGACAAAACCGAACATCACTGTGTGGATTACATTATGCTATAGCTTATTATGAAGTGTTAATTTAATTAGATCAATTCAATTCACATACAATGATATTTTTACTATTAACTACTTTTATGATTATTTCGGTCTACTCAATAAATATTACAAATCAATGAAGTCAATTAATGTGCACACAGTTAAAGAGGTTATTTTTGTAATAAATAATCTGCAAGCAAGTTTTATTTGTACATACATCAAATACATGAATTCTATTGATAGTTCGTAATCATCAAATGTCACTGTTATAAATGAAATCATAGAAATCAGAACCTATTATGAATGACTCACTCACTCACTCACTCTTCCCAGTTACTGCGCCGTTGACGTGAAGGCTTCAAATACGGACCTGCCGATGGTGAGTTTGGGAACCGTTGCATGTAGCGTTCCAGGTGCAAATACTTGACAGTTATGAGATTGCCCTCATACCACCAACCATGCAAACTGCGATACACAACCCCAGCGTCCGCCGGCGTCGCACATTTCACATACACACAGCAAGACATTCTCTCTATATCGATATGTAGAATATTACATCGCTCCCCACACTTCTCTAAAATGGCATCTTGAATGACAGTCCTCAAATTCGGATTAGCATCGTTCTTGTCAAACATGTGGCGAATTTTCAGGCAAGGTGTAGGGGATACAGTCAAATTGTTAACAGAACCTTCTTGAGTTTCAAAAGCCTGGCCCTGCCATGCAGCACTGCGCTTAGGGCTACTGTGAGCAGAAATCCATCGCCAAACTCTGCAATCCTCACCATCTACAGACTGTACTTCCATTCTCACTCTACTCTCATTTCTTTGAATGAATTTTACAGCTGCATCCCATACTGAGGCCATTTTTTCTCTGTTTTGTGGGGAAATAAGGGTGTCACGGACATGGTCCACAGATATGTATGGTTCTCCACTATCTTCAGTCTCTTGGGATATCACTTCGATTATCTGCTCTACCATAGAATAGATCTCTTCACTTTTTCTTTTCTGGTATCTTATGTAGTATGCGTAAAACCTCTGTAAACCAACTAAAAGTACAGATAGTAGCCCAACCAAAATAAGTGTGGAGCCAGCAGAGTACAAAGTGTTCATCAAAAAGCATGTAAGAGGTGTAGATGGGTCTGTAAGTGTCAAAGCTACACTTCCTTTGTTTCGTTGCTGAAATACAACATCTGTAGATGTAATATGGGTATATTCAACATCCTTGGTGTAAATATTCTTTAACTGAACAACACTGAGACCCCATCGTGGATTATTGACTATTAAAACTTGCAAATTATTGAGGTCAGTCCTACACTGACTAATATCAATTGAACTTGCCCTAGCACTTGCAATATCAATAATTTCTCGCTCAGTTAAATATGGCAAGGCCCCAGCATTCCCACACTTGTGTGCAGCAGCACGAGAAGTCAACTCAGGGTGTATTACTTTCAGCAGATCTTTAGCATAACTTACTTGCTCTTTTGGCACACAGTTAATACCTGGCCTGTTATTTGGTATATTTAATTGACAAATTGGTATAACACTATTCTGATCATCCACCACTGATGTGATATCATTTTTCTTAACTATATACATGAAAAATAAGCAAAAAAAAAAAAGTGCAACCAACACAACGAGAGCTAAGGATACAAGATTGTTCTTTAAAAATTTCCTATCATTGGCTGTTTTGTAATCAACCACATCAGACCTAGCAATCCCTGTTATATACGATCTGCGAGAGAGTATTGTGTTACCATTGTTTGTTTCACGGTCAATGTAAGATGGTGCAGGTTTATGTTCATTTTTTAATGCAGACAAACGCCTTGTGAAGTTGCTGAGGTATGGTGATTCAACTTCATCTGTAGGTGGTTGATAAGAACTAGATGGAAAACTTGAGGTGTACGTACTAACTGATGGCTTGTCACCTAACGTTGATGTCAATCCAAGTCTTGATCGGATCGAATTCAAATGATCTGAGGAAGTCAGAGAGGAAGAAAATCCTGGTGATATCGATGGACGGGAGAATAAAGATACTTTTGGGCTAGTGGCTGCATCTACTGTAGGGAGAGTGCTCGAAATATAATCACTAGAACGCGAGTTGCTTCGGAATGGAGTCGAAGTCTTTTTACCAGAGTCTACATCACTGTCAGACCCTGTTTCATAGTCATCTTGTTCATTGGCAGCGTACGTGCGAGTAACGCGGCGCGTTGTCACAGTTTCAACTTCCTCGTGAGTGCGAACAGGCGACTTTTCCTCTTCAGACTCTGACCCCTTATCAGAGTCCTGTTTTACTGGTGATCCTTTCTTCACAGGTTGGCGTTTAGCTTTATTAACAGGCGGTAACATCGCACCACCCGTGGTGGCACGACGCCCGCGTTTTTCTTTGACATTGTTTGTTGTGTCCAAGTCAGATTCCTCGCCGCTCGAATACCGAGCTAGTGACCGCCTATTCTCGAACTTACTGTCAACACTATTCCTAGGTTTGCTTTTATTATCAAGCACGAGCTTAAGTTTTTTAACCAGAAGGTTCCTCGTGGAAGCTGTTATGGGCATAACAGGGAATCCATGCTCGGCCAATTTAGTCCGAAGCTCCGCATCTGACATTGAATCTACTTGATCGGCCATTGTGAAATCTGAAAGAACAAGCACAAGGTTAAACAAGCAGACATTAATAAAACCATTAAAAAATAAAGCGGACGGGGATTGATCACCTTTTGTCAACTAATGTACAAAAATTACGTCAATCTCTTAAAAATTTTCACCGGCGCGTCATGGCGCATACATTTGATTTCCAAGCAAAAGGACGTCGTTATTTTCCAGTGTGACCAATACAAAAAAATATTAATCACTCACAGACAGGCACAGAGTAGTACAGAGATTATATCTATGGACGGGCATGACTTTATACAGCGCGACCACGACCAAGATCTTGGTCGTGTTCGGTTGCGCAAGAAAGAAAATCGGAAAGAAAGGTAGTTTCCCAATTACGGAGCATAATGCGACTCAGTGGCGCACAATGCCGAATTATGCTGATGCTTAATTGGAACGTGAATTAGTTTTTAAATGCACCAGCAGAGTGCTCTAAATTCAGTGTTGAATGTAGTAATTAAGAACAAATGAGATTATGTTGTCTTCTTCATCTTGATAAATACGTTCTTTTCCACGATAACATTGATGATTGCCTGTGTCATTAAATGATTCGATCAAGCCGTTGCAATGTTTACAAAAGTATATTCCTGTAAAATAAATTTGTTTATAGATTCGAATTCTAAAATAAAATTGTATTCACATTTGAAATCTGGAATATAAAAAAAAAACAATGTTTGTACCTTCATCCATACTTATATATTTTTTTAACACAGATTGAATTAACTTTGTAATTAAAAAAAAAACAATGAAACGAAAGCTATAAAAAAAAATCAACAATAATTAATATTACTAATCATATGAAATAAATAAAACATTTCGATAAATGCCAACTTAAAGAAAAAATACATGTTAATTTTCTGTCACTGAGTTGGTATCGATTACACCCATCACACGAAAACATTACTTTTGAGAGTACTCGATTGTGCGAAGCGTTGCTGTAGTTGAAACATTCAACGTTAAGCATTATGCCACATAATGCGCTCTAGTGCTGTAATTGGAAAATGACCAAAATCTGCCCCCGTAGCATGAGTACCACAATTTGCAATACATCACGTGTTACTGTCAAACTCCATAGTAAGTTGACAAATGAGCGTAATAAAAATGTTCTATAAATCATATCGCGCTGCTCATGCTAGGGGGCCAGACGTGTATTCCAGGCTACGTATTAGACTCCCCAATTACCCAATTTTAAGGGACCCCGGAGGTTGCCCTGACAATTGGCAGGTGAAATAGCTGTTAGGCAGTAAGAGAGCTCAGTCGACGTCACAGAGTACCTTATTATAACCGACGTCTTGAGACGCTTTTGTAGTCGAATTAATTTACTAGCGCGACGGCATTTAATGAAGAGAAAGAAATGTTACCTTTTGCGTCTTATTTTAATTATTCTTTAATTTGTCCATAGTGAATATTGTGAAATAAAATTGGTGTGATTTTGTGTTCCATTCCAACCATCTGCACATCTGAAGAATTAGTGGAATCTTTAAAATATACGCTGTTCCGGTCTAGTGGACGTGGGAACTTTATTGTAGTGTTGACTACCTCACAGAAGCTTATCGAGAAAGCTGACTCGATACATTTCGTGCCAAATACTCCAAGAAAAACATCCACATTCTAATGTAAAAAAAGAACAAAGAAAACTGAAAACCCCTTTTACCTTCCCTAAAAAGGGAGAACGTTAAAAAAAGGGTTTCTTAATTTTAATAGAGATCTATAATTTAGTCGCAAAATAAAATCAAAAACTATTTAAGGCACATATTTAAATAATCAGCAAAAAATAGTAATTGTTTCTCAAAAATATACAATTGGTAATTTATTCTAACAAAATTGGGTAGGGTAATAGCCGCTTTAGTATTTTCAAACGAAATGTTGGCTCTTTCGACAGTAAATTTTTTTTTCTAGTAAACTTTTCTTTGGTAAAATTTTACCTTTTAATTTTTTTTTTTTTATTAAGGTTTAGAGAATCATGCTAGAATCGACACCAATAATTACTTAAAATCCTCAGGTATAAAGCAATTAAATAGTAAGTTATACGTTATTATTTTCCTTATTCCTTACTTGGTCCATTGAAATATAATATCGTGCGGCTCCAAATTACATACGTAAACGTAAATAGGAACGTAAGTTTGATTGATTGTTTTTAAAAAAGGCGAATGAATGAAATTGTTTGAAAACTATTGCGATCTTTAAACGTTTGCTTGATAACAATTTGAAATGTTTTTGATTGGAATTGGAAATTGTTATTTTCACAACGACCCAAAGTCAGATTTTGTGTCAGTAAATTATTAGTGCTGTGATATTTACTTTTCGAGTAAAAGATAACGTAAGTGGGGAAAAATACATTGGAAGACTTTATCTTCCAATGAAACGTTTAAGAATTAATAAAATCTTATTTTTCTGTACAGATTTTGACAGCGATATCAACAAGCGAACATGTAAGTTTTCGTCTATATATTTTCATTTCTTAAGTAAGAGTGAATAATTATTTTTTTTGAAGTTAATACAAACAGAGAATAAGTAATTTACCACAGGATTACACTTGAAGTTAAAACAAACAGAATAAGTATTTGTTTCTTAGGTTTTCACGCACATCACTCTATATAAGAATCTCTAGAATAAGTAATTTATCATGCAATACTATATTAATAAATTAAGCTATTGTGCGTAATCTCTGTTGATTGGCTCTATAATGGCATTAGATGCAAGAAAGGAGACTTACCTATTTTGGCATTGAAACAAAAATTAAAGTAATTTTTGTTATTAGCTGGGTTCCGTTCAGAGCCTACGTTCTAGGTGCAACCAATATCAATTTTGTCATTAGTTCCATACATTTTATGTCAAAATTAAAATGGCAGGGTAAAAAGTTGCACTCTTGAGTATAGGTATTGAATGCAGACATGGATTGTTAAGGAGTACCTTGTTTTTTGGAAGTTCCTAAGGCTAGAAAGTACAGTTTTACCATTCCCCATATTTTGGCACTGTTACAAGCATCCTAAACATAGAGTGGAGTTATAGGTGGAGTGTTATGGGCAGATTGGTCTAACCTCCAGCTAAGGCTTTTATTGTGCTAGATTCCCGTACCACTGGTCATGTTCTCACTATTTACTCAAACCTGTTCTCAACACACAACAGTGGCAGTGTTTTAATTGCAAAATGGCACTTTTTTTTTATTTTTTCATCCCAGCAATCTCGCTAATAACAAAAATTACATGTTGTTGTAGTGATTGATGTTTTAGTACTGTTGTTGTGACCATGAAAGTTTTGAACCATTAATTTTTTTTCTGATGTATATATAAAATTCCCCTAGTTCTAGGGCAATAATATTGTGATGATAAATTTAAAAAGGAAATTATATAAATGATCCTAGAAAAAATTATAAATGAGCATGAATTACTAGTTTTTTGATGATCATTTAAGTACCTATGTTTGATTAAAAATATTTTATTTTCTTTCTTTTTAACAGGATTTTCAATGATGACCGTTTTCATCTTTTCAGTTGTGAGTCATATTTATTTTCTTTATTTTTGTAATCAAATTATTTTTGTTTCATCATCAACTTTCAATATAAAAATACTCAGATTCAGTTACAGAGACACAATTTATTAATAATGTAATAGCTTTTATGATTTCTAAAATTCAAATCTTAGAAAACATACTCAAAAATTTCATTTGCCCCAGTTAACTTCTAAGTAGTACATTGGCTTTAAAATCATTTGAAAGCTATAACTTTATTTGAGGAAACCTTAGTGCTGAATGGTTGAATGGTAAGTAAGGTTTATGTATTGTATTATTTATGTAATAAAACTAATGGTGCGATTACACTTGGTGGTTATCCCGAATACGAGTGCCAAACGAAGTCAAGTAAACAATTAAGTTTAAATAAGCAGAGTCAAATATGCCCGTATTCAGGTAGTTTTTGTTTTGGTTACCCGATACGGTATTCCAGCCCTTATTCTAGTGTAAATGTTGCTTCAAATTCTCGAATTCGAGTAATGTCTTTCGTGCACCTGAATACGGGCTAACGATCAATTGTAATTGAGCCATTATATTTAATGAATTGCCTATTAATAATAAAAAAAATCGGCTTTTACTAAAGCTTGCTTTATAACACACTAACCCAAAAATACCCGGGACGACACTTATTATTAAATTAGTCTATTCTTAGCATTCATTTAAAGACTGCATAGGTACAGATCGCGGCACTTAACTAGCGCTGAACAAAACGCGTCAGGGATAGCTGCGTGCATGGGTACGACTGGAGAGAAAATCGGCGCAACGCACGCCCACCCGCGCTCCTCGTTTCCCCCCAAGACATCTTAATTTTTACTTCTGCCGTAGTGTATATATATATTCTGTGCTTCTGCACAATAACGGTCAGCGCTAGAGTTTCGTGCCGCGACTTATAGTAGGCATACTTTATTTTACAGTATAATTAGCCTAGAACTGAACCATACAATTTTGAGGTTTTTTCTATTATGTAAAACTTCTTTAATCCCTTGATCACTTGGGTCTTTGCAATGGCTCCATTGATAAATCCTTACACAGTTTTTCTCTACCTGATTTAATCATGACTCAAGAGCGCCCCTATCGAATATAAGAACAAAACTAGCCCTTCCATAGAAATATTGACGATAGCGAAACGAATATTTTTTCGCTAGACGTTTGTCCTTGGGGTACTGAATGTATAGCAAATTGAAACCGTGATTAAAAGAGTTTAACGAAAATTCGGAGTCTTGAAACTTAACTTGGAAGGTGCGCCATTTATAGGGTTCCGTACATCAAAAGGAAAACCTCATATAGAATATTTCATTCCTGTTGAACTTCAAGCAGTCACAAATTATTTACACAACAAGAATGATAAACAAGTATAGGGTTTGCCTGATGATAAATATTACGCAACCGCACGCAACCCTGATTACTTAATCTCCTACCTACCGACCCCGCAAAGCTCTATAACTCAAACTCACCCAACAGAAACACAACAGCATCGTAATAGACTACAAGCCCGTGGCAAATATTGATAGGTCATTTGAACCACCAGAAGACCTATTAAGAAAGATAGAAAGACATTAAAATATAAGATTCAGCACTATGCCATCACTGGTAAGCCAACTGAGTGTAGGTGAGAATTCATAAGTACAAATAGAGGGAGGGAAAAAAAACTGTTCTGAAA